ATAGAATGTTGTAATACAACTAAAGGCTTTAGGTTTCAAGATAAGTAATAAGTAGTTTCATTATTTCCCACCCAAGTATTTTATTTCACCCATTGTGGCAGCTACCAGGTTAGTTTAGACACTTCTTATAGGTAGGAAAGAGCCACCAACTTCTGAGATTGCCCATTAACAACTTGAAAACAGATTATGTTAAAATCCTCACTGTTGTATAGTTTTTAGTTAGGTAACTAATAAAAATAAAGGAACTAACCTTCAAGTAACTGGAAAGTACACCATTATTTCCCTGTTCCAACCCTCCTCACATATATTCTCATCCTTTCAATACACTGTTCACCAAGAGCCTCCCCCATTGCCATGGATAAGTCTCAGCACTACCACCACAACAGCCCTCCCAAGGCAAAGTGGCCAGAGTTTAATCCCCCGCAAGGGAGCTAACACCCATGGGGCAGCAGACCTCTCCTGCTTTGCCCATTACTCCCCTTAGCAGTGTATTTCAGTAGATCTGCCTGTTCTGCTACCACTGTCTCTCTCGTGAATCTTCTCAATCCCCACATCTCTAGCCTGCACTCCAGCTCTTCTACGCAAAAATAAAAAAATGAAAATCTTACAATAAATGAATAATTCTTGGGAAAAAAATACTGTTCACCAAGTAGAAAGTTCTGCTTAATAGAGTTTTTTCCTAATAATTGAAGATAATCTCAACCTTCATTTATTGATGACTTTAAGAGTAAAACAAAAATATGCATCCTTATCCGGGGCTAGATGCAAATGGCCCTTGGCTACATGAGTGTGTAGAACTGGATTAATACACAGTAAAGCATTAGAAATATTGAATACATTGGAAAAAAACATTTCCAGAGGATGGTGGAAATGAGGTGGCTGCTCTGCAGCTCTAAAGCATAAATTCAATTGCTGAGCTCCAGTTCCTGAATCATATTTGAGAGATCATATGGATTCATATATTCTTTGAGTTTCTTGCCTATGTATTCATTGCTTATACTATCTTTTGACCCTCAGTCTTGAGGCTGCTCATATTTCGAGTGGTAGATATTCTTTCAGAATGTGGAAACTAACCCTGAGTATCCCACAACATCCTCAGAACCAAAAGACACAATTCCTAAGACTTCACTGTAATCTTAAAACCCTGTGCCTCTCTAAAAGGCATTTTAGAAATTCCTCAAGTTTTTCAGAGTCCAGTGCCAGATGGGAAGGCAGACAACCCAGGTACAGATCCAAGTCTATGATCAAAATATCTGCTCTAGGGCCTCCCCTGGTGGCGCAGCAGTTGAGTGCTGGGCTGCGAAGCTGCCCACAGCCTCTGTAGCACCAATTCGATCCCCGGCCGCAGGCGAGGGTCCCACATGGCACACACACATCTCCTGCCCTGCCTGCTGCTCCCCTCAGCAGTGTATTTCACCAATCTGCCTGTTCTGTTCCCCGCTCTGGCTCTGGTGAGTCCTCTCACCCTCCCGCGCTTCTGACTGTACCCAGTGCTTGTATGAATAAATAAATAAATCTTTAAAAAAAAAATCTGCTCTAGCTGGAAAGAGCCTGGTGCCTTGGATTTCACCAAGAGTAATACCTGGAGGTTAGTTCTGCGAATAAAATAACCCTTGGAAACACTCTTACAAAGTTAGATATCTCTGAAAGAAATAAAAGGTGGGACAAATGCTGCCTGACTCCCATGTTTTAGTACCATTGGGGCACAGAACCCTTTAATTACATGTACTATGAGGTACTGACCACTTATTCTAATAATGTGAAGGTATCCAGGGAGACGTTCAAGGCAGCATTCAAAAAACTAGAAAGGGAGAAAGGTTGGGCACAGTAGTAGCAACAATTTCATCACAGAGGCTGAAACCAAGAGCATCAGGCTGACCATGGCCATCAGCACCAGCTAGGCAGAGAGCTTAGAAGCCACAAAACAGAAGCCTCTTCTGAACATGAAGAATCACAGCAAGACAGTGAGCATTGCCAAGTGGGGAGAAGCCACAATAGTTTCTTGTTCTGGCTGAAATGTATGCTTCCATTCTGTAGACTGGCTGTGGCTTTGGTGTTCTGAATCACTCTCTTGGTAGCAGTCCTAATTTGCTCTCTAGCAGCATGGGTAGGAGGCAGCGAACTGGAATACTTACAAAACCCAGCCAAGTAGCATGAACAGTGATGTAGATTGTGTGGGCACTATGCACACTGAAGAGCAAATGCCCTTTAAGAGGGGACAGTTACGGATTAGCCCAACTATTATTTTCATGTATCAGTGTGAGACCAGATCTTCCACTTGTAGGATTTTTTAATGTGAAATCTTCCACTTAAAATAGTTTCACCACAAAGCAAAAGCATTAGTACTTAAAAATTAATGCAAAAGTAATTGAAATCATAAATTTTATATTATATATTTTGTCACAATAAAAATGATTTAAAAAAAGAAACAAAAATCATGTGGGACATATAAATCCATCTACAGTCTGGATTCTGTTTTAAATTCTCCAAAGTCTGCCCTAGTAATAGGGCCTGGCACTGCCCTTCCTTGCATGTCAATCTCTTTCTCTCCCCATTTCTAAAAATGGCTAAATCCCAGGGTCTCAGCCCAGGGTCCCAGGTCCTGCAATCTGCCACAAGATTACCCTAAAGGTACACTTTGGAAGATCTGAGGGTTTTCTTGCCATGGATTCTAACAAACTGTCAAAATAGTCAGCACTTGAACACAGTGGGGGTTGGGGTACTGGCCCTCGACACAATAAAAAAGAAACATAACTGATTCTCCCAAAATTTAACTATGATTGTCTCTCAATATTCATAAAGGATTGGTTTCAGGAAATAACACACACACACACACACACACACACACCCCTTGCAGATACAAAATCCCTAGCTGCTCAAGACCTTTATTGATGGCCCTCTATATCCATAGGTTTTGCATCTGCGGATAATCAACCAATATCCAATTGGTTGAATCTGTGAATGAGGAACCTGAGGAAATAAAGTCAACTGTATTTACTGAAATGATCTGGGTTTAAGTGGACCCATGCAGTTCAAACCTGTGCTGTTCAAGGGTCAAGCGTACACCCTACTGCCTTTGTTGGAACATCAAAATCCTCGCTGTGTGTTGTGTGCTGGCACCATGCTAAGTATCTTATATGAATTATCTCACTAAATAAAATAACCCTGTAAACTAGTATTACTTCCCTAATAAAACCTGAGATCAGAGAACTGCACAATTAAATTCAAATATGCAGCTATTTCATGGAAGTACTAAAATTTAAACTCAAGTCTGAAGCCAGGTCTACTTCACTGCCTCTAAATGGGAAATGCAGGAAAGAAGAGAGCGCGGCGTATTTCTAAACCTCTAAAAAGATGGAAAGGGAGATTCATTCTTGTGGCAGTCTGAGTCAACTTTACACCATGTTTTAAAGGTTCACCAATATTACTAGTTTCCAATTTTACAACTTTCTATATACAGTTACCTGTGGTTTCTAGTTTAGGGATTTCATGGACCAATAATATTCAAAAATATATTTTGGAAGCAACAAAAGATTGCCAAACTTCTATTTGGCCAAGTAAGGATATTAAAAAAAAAAAAAACTATCATTTAGAAACATCATTACTTTGGTGAATGACAACTACATATTCTCTCTCTCTCTCTCTCTCTCTCTCTCTCTCTCTCTCTCTCTCTCTCTCTCTCAAAGGGAATCTGGCCTCCGTTTGCCCCCATCATGGCTGGTTGTATGCATGCACATGCACGGGGAGCCCCAACCTCAAATGTGTGATGTTGCACAAGCATGCTGGGAGGATCATTGGAGCTTGGAAAACCTTACACCACAAAACAAAACAATATCATTATAAGTGAGGGCTTGGTTCCCATGTCTCAGGGTAAATCTAGAATATCTTTTATTTTGCATATGAGGCAACTGAGGTCTCAGGAGGTTAAGCAATTTCCTTAAATAACACCTTTCAGTAAATAACACTTCTTTAATAACTCTTGCAGAGCCAAGCCAAGAATTATCTTGATAGCCTCTTCAGTTCTTTTTTCATCATTAGAGACAAGCTATACAATAATGTTAATATTATATATATATATACTAGAATACTTAACATTATTAATTAAGTAGGTTTACAAAAGGATAGATTTGGAAGTTTGCCACTATTTATAAAAATGATTCTGGGAGAAAATACATTCTGTGACACAACTGACAGATGTAAATGTGGTTTATAACACATAAGTATTCCTTGGTTTCATGTCCTGCTTCCCCAGCTACCATGAAAAGAACATTTAGTGTGATCCTCACAGGTGAATCAGCTTCTAGCCCTCATAGAGGGTTATGTGATTAACTTCAAATCAAGAGTTTATAAATCTCAGAACTTCTGAGTATGTTTGCACCCTCATTAGCACTCAACATAAGACTGAGATTGGGTCACTGACATATAATCAGGAAATAGCTATTAGCATAAACCTTAATTGGAATCCTAGTTACTGTTCTGTTAGCATAGCATCCTTCCTGGGTTTTAATGAGCACTGTCCTATGAAAATATCCTTTGAAACTGGGACCTGCAGACAAACATGAGTCTGTAAACCATACATACTTTTAAAATTCAAATATATTACCTCTTTCAGAGATAGTCATGACTGTAGGAAACTCTCAGTTCAAGGAACAAATAATTAAATATGACCAGCATCTGACTCTGGTGAACTGACTCATAGTTGTTTTTAATTTATAATCATTAGCCCAGATTCTTCAGTGATATGATACACATATACATGCAAATATATGTATATATCTGGTGATATGAGGTATATAAAGGTATATGTGCATACACATATGATATATGCATATATGATGGATACATGCATGTAAGCATATTTGACCACAGACATTATATACAATAATGGAAGTATTTTTGTATATATTTTAGATAATACTATATATGATATATAGGTACTAGTCAGAGAATAAGATCAGTATCAGGGAAAATTTTCTAATTATGAAAAATGGCCATCATACTTGAGAACTTCAATTTTCTTCTCCATTTTCCAAGGCTTGCATTTGACTGTAGCAATCACTTGTCTATTCTCATCTAACTCTGCCTTCAATCTTTCCAGCTCCTCTTGATCAATTTCTTCTTCTTCTTCCCTTTAAAGGAAAAAAAACCCTTAATAAAGGCTTGAGTTTAAAAAAGAATGCTATCCACAAAAGAAGACTGCTATTGGATAGACATCAGCTTGACTATATATAGTGGATGAATATACTAGATCCATAAACATTATCAGAGTTCATAGTTAATTGTTGATGCAGGATTTCTGGAATTACTATAACTTTAAACAATAGTGTTTACATTCTGATGCCCTGAAACTGAGCTGTTCTTTTCTGTACACATCCTAAAACTCTCAGAACTAGAAAACCTGTGGAAAGAATAATTGCAGACCTATCAAGATATTATCCTCTCTCCTTTGTTCCCTGATACACCTTGAAGTACGTTTGGTGGAAATGAATCTTTGAGAAGAACGTCAAAGGAATTCAGTTGCTTACTGAGCAAATGAGATTTATCTTTTCACTTCTATGTTCCTAGTATTGCAAAATATGTACAGTCCAGAACTTAAAAAAAAAAAAAAAAAACTAAACACGAGCAACATGATTTTGAAACAAGGAATGTAATTCCATACTGTAAAGATTACTTGGTAATAGATTGTTTCTTTTATTAAACTAATGTTGTTAAACTTCAAACTCACCCTTCTATTTTTAATATGGTGATATTGGGGCTGGGACTCTGTGGGGCTCATTTTTGCGTTGTCAATATGACTGCTAGTAAGGTATACTAAGACAACATGTGTTCTTGCACTTCATTTTCTGACTATTTCCAGAGGTAATGCTTTCTCTTTAGCAATAATTCTTAGTCCTGGGAGCTGCATGGTCTTTCAAGAATGGCAGAGAAATATAGTTTGCCAGCTTCATCATCACCCCCATAGAGTCCAGCATTGCTAGAGCATCATCCCCCATGCAGGGGCCTGGGTTTCAGCTCCATGGGTCTCTCCTCTGTGCTTCTAATTTTTACTTTTAACATCTTACCATTTTCCTCCAGCTCTTGGGGCAGTAGCATCATCCTATTGCTGTTGTCACCATGATATTTTATTGTTCTATTATCACCTTTCAGTGACTATTTAACAATTATTTATACCTACTAAATAGTTCCCGTACTAAACTATACATGGTTCAATTAACTGCTGATGTTTCTTTCAACCAATTGGACCCTGATAAAGAAACTGTAATCTGCTTAATGTTAGTCAAAAACATCTCATAGTTCAGGAAGCTCATGACTGACATAGCTGATGTTGAAAGTTCCAGAAGATATCAACAGTTTTACATCCTGCTCTACAAAAGCACTTTACAATCTCCTTCCTTTCCTGCCAATTCAGTTTTTAGTCATATCATGGCTATTGAAACAAAAATTTACTTTAATTCTCTAAGATAACACTTCTTGTTGGCTATCTAGTTTTTGGCCAGTTCAGATTATTTTGCTTAGAATAATAACCAACAAGCTGGTTCAAGAACACTACCAAAGTATGCTAAGATACAAGTCTGATTTTTAACAGGTTGCTTCTGTTTTTATTATTTGATGTTTATTATATAAAATCTTACAGTGCTGTACAACTACAACATAAAATATATGAGAATTTTTTATGACATCTATATTCACATTTTGTTTTTAATTTGCCAATTATAATGAGTTGGTTTATCTTAGGAGGAAAAATATGTTTTAGGGAAAATTATCAAAATTGTTTCCATGTAGACATAGATTAAATCTAAATTCTATTGAGAATTGTTTTGCTGAAATATTTACAGAAACTAGCAAAAAGAAAAGAAAATTGATGTCAAGAAACTATTAAGAATGGAGACTAGGGGCCTCCCCTGGTGGCGCAGCAGTTGAGTGCCGGGCTGTGAAACTGCCTGCAGCCTCTGCAGCGCCAGTTCAATCCCCGGCCACCAGCGAGGGTCCCACATGGCGCACAGACCTCTCCTGCCCTGCCTGCTGCTCCCCTCAGCAGTGTATTTCGTCAGTCTGCCTGTTCTGTTCCCTGCTCTGGTTCTGGTGAGTTCTCTCACCCTCCCACGCTTCTGACTGTACCCAGTGCTTGTATAAATAAATAAATAAATAAATCTTAAAAATAAAAAAGAAGTGGGGCTGAATAATATTTACTTAATAAATGGCTTATGTATAGAATTTTCTGGATGACAGGGTTATTATCATGAACTCCATGCTCAAAGTATACTAAAATGAATAATATGTAAGATATGATATGGATAGACATTATTTCTAATCTAAAAAATATAGTCTTTTTTGTTAATTATTGATTGTTCCAGGAGGGCCATCCTGTGTTTCAAAATATAGTTCTGGTCAGATAAGTTAATTTCAAATATGCAGTAATTAAAATATGACTTCAACAGAATTACAGGGAAACAGATTTTCTAAAGGAAGGACAGCTTTGATAAAAGAAATACTAATCATATTAAAAGGATATAAGCATAGATTTGCTTCATCTTCTAAAATTTAGGATTAAATCCACGTAACAATAGTTTTGTATCTTAGTTTGATTTATTTAAAGCAGAGTTGTTGGGGAAAATTAATATGTGCTGAATTCCTCACTGCTATTACTAATTCACTTAAAAACTGGGTCAGGAAAATCCTATAATATTATTAGAAATACTCCAAAATGTCTAACAAAGCAGTGTTTTTTAGTCACCATCTCCAAAGATAATGAACATACAAACTAGGTTTTAGATGGTTTCCAGCATTTTGTCAGTTTAAATGAAACTCCCTCAGGTGTTTTGCTTGAACATTTAAATAAAAAAGACCATGAATTAATTAATTTAAATGTGCCATGATTTGCCTATTAATCTTAGTCTCAACATATATTTGCTAATACATTTTCTTGAAAAAAACTCTTATTTAAAAAGTGAACTAATAGAAAATGTACCTTACAATAGACCAGAACTATCAATTATCACAATATTGATACTATTTAGAACAGTTGACCAAATCTGCAAAACTAATGAAGACAAAGTCCATTTTAGTCAAGTGTAGTTATATGATAGAATAGAGAGGCAGCAGTGCTTCTCCTCAGAATCTGGAAGAGAGCAGAACCTGCTAAGGACAGACATTGTCACAGGATCAGATTCCCTCACACAACAGAGGCTAAGGCCAGTTGACACATACTTCTTATTTTCAGAGGTTGAGCAGTTGACATGATGGTCTTAAGAACAAAGGAACAGAGGAATTCCCACCGATCTCACCTTTTTTAAAGGCCCTCTGTCGGGCATAAGTTGAGAAGAAAAGCAAATTCTGGAACACAACCTATATTGTGCATATGACTATTGGAGACATTTTCTTGATGAAATACCACTGTCAAAAAACATCGACTTTGCTAGTAGGAAATACTATTAGATAAAAGAGTAATAGCAATAACAATAATACAAAGAACTTCAACGAGTGTTGCACTATGTTTTTGAAAGGAACAAAACAAAGATATTTGAAGACAGACATAAAAAATACCAGAGTCAAAATTTAATGCAGATGATGGATTGATCTTTGAAGAAAGAAGAGGTGTTTGTGGAGGAGGAGGTAAAAAAAGGTGCAAGAAGGGGAGGAGGGAGACTTAAAAATTTAAATAATTAAACATATTAGTAGAGGAGTTACTCTCTTATTCTAGGAGGCACTATCATTTATTCATACCAGTCTTCCTGACTGGACAAAATTTCCATTAGGTTGCTGTATTTAGTTAAAACTATTTACGAGGAAGTAAATAATTGCTAGTTATTGAATATGGAATATATTCTCTTTGAAGGACATCTTGAAAAGTCCCTCATCATTTCAAGTCGAGGAGTGCTTTTCAGGAGATCCCATTACCTTCTGGTGGCTCAGTGACTCAACTACCTGTGGGTGGCCATGTAACTATTCTCTTAAAGTCTTTCTCCAGCCTAAGCTTTATATAAGATATGTGTTACATGCACACTTTTCCTACCTGCCTGCAATCTGCCAAATTTCTTGAAATCAAAGGCCAGAAAATTATTTTCTTAAATTTTCCCTAAACAGTATCTAATGCATTATTCCACCCAAATTCAGTGCTCAGTAAAACACTGATGTAGTGGAAAGTCTGATACAAGTTTGTATTATAAAGAAAATAACACCTCCCAATCATCTGTAACAGGGAACAGCACCTTTTTTCCGTAAAAGGATGATAATTGATATTTTAGGCTTCGAATGCTACATAGTCATCTGTTTTGTTTTGTTTTATTTTGTTTCATGAATAACCCCTTTGAACTATAAGAGCCATTCTTAGTTCTTGGGTTCAGGGTTGGAATTAGATGTAGTTTGCCTATCTCTGCCCTATAGATAAAATAATTTGGACTTATTGTTTAATGTTTAAAAATTTTTCCACTTAGAAAACATGGTATATAGTCAACAGGATAACTTTAACATACTTAAATTAACTATAAGATATTAAGGACCTGTAGCAAGTTAGATCTTTCTCCAAATCACATAGTTCATTTTAATGTATATTTATTTTAAAATTCAATTTGAATATTAAAATACATTTACTTTAGTGGAAATAAAAATGCAGCATCATTAAGCCTGTCTAAAAGCCATTTTAGTTACTAACTTTAAGGTCAAAGAGTATCTAAAGGGAGTGGACTTCTTTCAGCATCAGGTGCTTTTCAATGAGTAACAATTCAATTTAGATCGGAACTGACTTACGCTCCTCTCCTCAACCTCCTTCTCCTTTCTTTTTCTCTGGCCTTCCTTGTTTCTTCATCCTCTGGTTCAGGTTCAGGGTCATCCTCATTGATAACATCTCTTTTCCGTTTCCTCTTTGGTCTCAAACTCTCTCTTCGAGGTAGTTTTTCTTCTTCCTCTTCACCTAAACACGATAGTTAGTGAATATATCAGCAAGTATTCTCTTCTGCAACCAAATGAATTCTTACTTTTCAATTATCATTGTCATACATCTGAGACCACAGTCTAGCAATTCTTCATATCACAATAAGATGCACCTTGCCATATATATTTCATAGCATGCCATTTAAATACATTTATCCAGATTTCATTTACTTTGTGATTCATTTATTTCTTAGTGCACAGGGCAGGAATAGCAAGGAAATGCTACAAGCTAGAATAATTTGGAATAAACGATGCAGTCCTTTTTTTTAATGTTTGATATATTTTATTTTATATAATTCTTACATCATTTTTCATTTTTGCACAATGTATACATTCTCACCTTGGTTATATTCCCCATACAATTGCACCCTCCCTTATTTTGACCCTAATCCCTCCTTTCCTCCCTCCCCTCCCCCACCCCAGTAGTGTGTCTCTGGTTCATAGTTGCTTGTTGATTTTGATTTTTTTTTATTACAATTAGTCTTTTTCCTGGTCCCTTATTTGGGTTTTCTAAATTCCTGCTATGAGTGAGACCATCTGGTATTTTTCTTTTTCTTTCTGGCTTATTTTGCTGAGCATGATCCCTTCCAGCTCCATCCATGTTGCAGCAAATTGCATGTGTTTATCTTTTTTGATTGCTGAGTAATATTCCATTGTGTATATGTACCACATCTTCTTGATCCAGTCATCTATTTTTGGGCATTTGGGTTGTTTCCATAGCTTAGCTATTGTAAATAGTGCTGGATGCAGTCCTTTAGATCGCTCCTAATTCAAATTACCTCCATTCTTGAGTCCAAGTACATCTATTTTCTTATTCTACATATTTTTTCTTTCTTAAATGAAATGGATAAGAAATGCATTTGCTTGATCATTCTATCCTTATGAATAGAAATGACTTGTATATATGAATTTAATGTAAAACTGAGAAAAAGTGATATTTTGTTCATCAACTAACAATGCCTCATAAAGCCAAAACTTCTTAGGAAGCTTCCAGGAGAAAGAATAGAAAGTTCCTTCCTTCAAGGGAATTTTATAACACACAACCCTACTTCATTTTCATTTAGTTGCTCTTTAACTTCTCATAATTACAATCAACTATTACATTAAAAAGCAAACATTATAGTTATCACTATTCCCTCAATAGAAACAACTGTAGGAAATTTGCATTTCAGTGGAAAACTGTGATTACCAGTATCGTATTCTTCAGTATATCTGATTCAGAATCTATGAGAGCTATTTTGTGTCTCCATAAGTTATAGATAATTGGACAGCAATGCAAAATAATTCTTGTCCGTAGACATGCAAATGAATTCATCCATTGAAGACATAATCAAAACAAAGTTTTGGGCCTCCCTGGTGGCGCAGCTGTTGAGCGCTGGGTTGTGAAGCTGCCTGAAGCCTCTGCAGCACTGGTTCAATCCCCGGCTGCTCCCGGGCCACCGGAGGAGGGTCCCACATGGCGCGCAGACCTCTCCTGCCACCCGCTGCTCCCCTCAGCAGTGTACTTCGGTCCTTCTGCCTGCTCTGCTCCCCGCTCTGGCTCTGGTGAATTCTCTCACCCTCCGCGCTTCTGACTGTACCCGGTGCTTGTACAAATAAATAAATCTTCAATTAAAAAAAAAAAACTTTAAAAAAAAAAAGTTTTGCCTCCATTTGCACAATCATTTGAATATTACTAATCTGTAAGTGGATTTGCTATTGGAATTTCCTTTGGACTGCTTATAATACCTCACCAGAGTCCTCATTAATTAAATATGCCCATTTTTCATATGTGTCATGAATTTATTTTTTTAATTATTAACTAACAATGCTTACTTTATAAAATTTATAATTTATATCTAAGATGTAAATATTATCCATAATATTAATTTTGGTTAGGAGAATCAGGAAATAACTTTTTAACTATTGCTAGAACATTAAAAAAATTTATTGCTAGAACATTAGTTTACAGCACTATGTAATTCAGAGGTATAGGATTACCCCTCTTTAGATGTATGTCACCACGCCACACCTACCACCAAGGCAACCATAGTCCTCCAGCAAGTCCATTGGGCCCTGTCTACCCTTATCTTTTCACCCTCCTCCCCCTCCTCCGGTAGCCTCAATTCTACAGTCAGATTCTAGAGTAATAGGTTTGGTTTTGACTGACCCTTTGTTTTGTTTTTCTATAGTCCATCTTTCTTTCTTCCTTATTTCACATAGCTTTAGTCCCTCCATTTACGTCTATGTTGTCACAAATAGCAAGAGTTCATCTTTTTTACTGCCAAGCAGCATTCTATTGTGATAGCACATCTTTTTAATCCACTCATCTGTTCTTGGGCACTTAGGTTGTTTCTACAACTTGGTTATTGTAAATAATATGACAATGAGCATAGGAATGCATGTATCGCTTCAAATTAATATTTTTGCGTTTTTCAGATAGACAACTAGGAGTAGAATTGCTGAATCATATGGTAAATCTATTTTTAATATTTTGGGGAACCTCTATACATATTATCAATAAGGGCTACTTGATCATGAGTAATTTGTAGTTTGAGCAGTATGTGTGTAAGCCATTCGAATAGACTCTAGACTGGAGATTCTATTTGTTGGATTTTACTTTTTTTGTGAAACCATCAAACACCATCCACACATGCTTCTGTGATTATATGTGGCAGCACAACCCCAAAAGTAAGAGGGTGACTCTCCTGAATCACCACTATTCCACGGAAACATATCCTAAAAGGCCCATTCCCACTTACTTGAATTTTCTTCAGTATCATCTTCTTTTTCCTCCAGTTGGATTTGAACTGTTGAAGAAAGATACAGTTCTTTAAATGTGGCACAACTGTTAACAATGGATTTTTACTATTATTTTTATCATAAAATTATTTGTACAGTTATTAAAAATACTTCTCAATAAAATTTTCAAAATAAAGTTTATTAAAGATATATGACTACTACACTTTAAACAATCTTATATAATGTTACACAAAGACTTGTCTGCTTCATTGCTTTCTAGGACTTACAAAATATATCAGTTACAAGTTGATTCAAAATAGTTTTGACCAAAATAAATTTGTTTTGTGATACGATGACTTGGAGCTTGTTGACTGATTCCTTTGATTATAAATTGAATTGTCAGTAAAGTTATATCCACAGGCACAATTTGATTAGCATAACCAAATTTACTCTGAAAAGGAGACTATTTCATTCTAACCAGCTATTCAGTGTCAAAGTCTTTCAAAAAAATGTTTAAGACAGATTTTTCAATTTCAATTATTTCTACAGGTATTATGTGGATACAGCCTAAATTTTCTAATATATGATTTACCTTAGTAATGTGGGGGCAGCCGATTTTACATTTTTTCCCCAAGTCAAATGTCATTTCTCCTGCTTCTATCTTACCCCATACTCAGATAGCACCTTGTCAATAATTTTACCCCATTTTTATAATGGCCTTATAAAATTTTAATGGCACATTAATATGGGAAAATCAATTAACTGCCTATTATTCCCCTTGTCAATTATCATCCATATAACGGGCAGGAATAGAGCTCTGCAATTTGTCATGGTAAAAATTAGAGTAAACTGTATCTTTGAAACCATATAATGGTAACATGCTTATGAAATACTAATTTTATTTTTATTTAAGGTGTATGGGTATATGTTCAAAAAAGCAAAGATGATAAACAATGTTGCTTGGAACAGAAGAAACAACCTTTGATTTTGTTTCTGCTGGCTGTCAAGGGTTATTATCACTTGACAGGCATATTGAAAAGGCAACAAATGCTAAGAGTTCAAACTCCATTCACAAAGAAGATTATTGTAAAAGCAGTTTTTGCCTTTAAACGGCATCTGCATAAAAATTTTTAGGTATGCAAAAATGTTATCACGCAATGTCAGCCATGGAATGTGAAAATAAGTATTCTTTTGTTCAGAGTGGACATATGCCTTCTGTTGCTGGATGTAACTAGATCTGCACAGGACAAAGATCTTTATGTCACCATTGAGAGGTTGCAGTAGTGAAGGCAGACACTTCTAAAAGATATTCTACATTCCACAATAGGTCATGGTCTCTTATGGGCAATTAATGCCACCACCAAGCTTCTTCAGTCAAAGAATTCTCTAGGAAGGCATTTTAATGATACATGATTAGCCTAGAAGGAGAGTATTATCAGTGTGCATAATGCAGAAATAGCTGAGGACAAATGGCAAACACACAGCCCATTTTGCAACATGCAAAACTAAAACAAATTAAAAATATTCACACAAAGGGTGATACTGATTTGTAATAATCAACTCACTAGACTTGATTAAATAAAATTAAATGAAATAAATAAAATTATTTAATGAACAAAACACAAATATGTTTAAAAGGATTATATATTTTTTATTAAAAAGTAGCAGGATGAAATATTCCAAGCCAAGTTGATGAGCAACAAACCATTTTCCTCCAATAAACAGGGGAGTGGAAAAAAGCAAGGATGATGTCATGAATCATCTTCTCTGATACAGGAAAGTTACAAGGACCACTAAGTAAGACCTAAAAATCAGTAAGGGGAGACATTCTTGTAGTTGCAAGTAAAGAACTGGAAAAGAGCTCTGGTTTCTAAGTGATGCAATGGAGAGTATTGCAGAAATAGCCCCTGCTTTCCACTGAGCTGGCTTTCTAACCATGATGCCATCTGCACGTGACCGTCCATACATTCTCATTAGGTGCTGTCTTTACTCAATAGCATTTCTTTGTCTGGCAGTTAAGTAAGGTACCATGGAACAGTCATTTCCATAATAATTGTGATAATAATTGATTTGTTCATGATTCAAACTATCAACCAAGGCATCATCAGCATTAAGAACTAAACAGCAACACTACGTGACAAGGAGATTCAAGACTCCATCAGGAGCCTCTGACAAACTTTGATTTTAATAGGCCATAATTTGGTCTGAAAATCTTCTAGAAACAAGCTAAGAGTCCTCCTCAGAACAAAAGCCTGTGCAAAAGAATAGCGCAGAATACTTAAATTGGGCTACAGATTGTCTTTACATTCTTAGACAATTCGGGGGATGGCTTGGTGCCATCTCTCAGCAACCCCTAGTAGCTTAGTCCCAATCGCATGACCCAACTCCCTTTCCACACCTTGGCTGCTTTCCAAAGTCTATCGTTTATGTACTTTAAAAATAACCAGTCTCCTGGGGAGTGATAGGAAGATAGTGAAAGGGGAGGGGGAGTCCTGTCAAAATGTTGGAGGCAGTGAGCAAAACTGCATTGAAGGATCCTTATTTAATAGAAAAATATGCAATAGGAGCAGATGAACGCCTAGGCAACCCAGATCCTCATTTCATGCAAATAGACCCAGTAATTAAAAACAGTAAAAGAAAACAACAGCAAAATGTCACATTTCAGCTGCATTAGAATTGGAATCATTCAGAAAAGTGGATGCTGTTTCAGGCAATCTTCTTTTAATCTATAGCACTGAAAGTAGTTTATGGTTCTATAGCATCAGGGAGGTCAAATAGCTGTGAGTTGAATAGTATTGCCTGTTCCTCTGACCCACACTTAGCTCACAAAAAAGATCTGTAGTACCAGGTTATTGCTTTGGAAACTGAGAATTCATTTATTCAATCAGCACTTATTGTGTACTCATAAGGGTTTGTAGATTATAAAAGAAAATGCCACTGTCTTTAACAAATGCTACTTGATGCAAAAGAATGGCTTTATTACAATGAGGTCCAAGATTGTATGTGAGTATCTTATCCAGCTTACTCAGGTTATCACAGCAATTTATTTAGATATCAGACCCTTTTCTATGTTTCTTTTTAGGATTCCTCTATATGTGTCGGGAAAAGTTAACACCAACCCTTTTATATAAATGGGGATTCTATCACCTCAGTCTAAACTATTCTCAGAGGATATTAATCTATGCCAAAATGAGCACATTTTCAAATCTTAACTGAAAAATCTGTGTCATTGGTTTGCATTTGAGTTGAGATGTGAACAAGGAGAAAAAAATTTCAGGAATACACCAAGGTTTTTTCACTTGGGCAATTGAGAGTATAGAATCTCAAGAAACAGGGATGATAAGGCTATAGGGAGATTAAAATAAGCGGAAGGGATTGAAGATTAGTAGTTTTATTTGACAAGTGGAATTTAAGATGTCTACTACACATCCAAGCAAGACCTGAGTACATAGTCAGCTATTTGAGTCTAGTGTTCAGAAGAAAAGTCTAAGCTAGAAACAAAATTTGGGAATGATTAGTACAGTGAAGCAACATAAAGCCATCAGGTAAAATTACTGATAGTTATGCTAGCAGGAATGCTCCTAAATGATTCTACGAGAATGAGAAACTAATGACATAAATTAGGAGATGAACCCCCTAAAATGTTACTTAAATGTACAACTTAAATTTGAATTATTTATATGTGGCTTTTGCTTTTGTTTCTGTGATGTTTCTCTGACTGAGACTTTGTTGAGACTGGGCAACTTACTGATAAGTCCCTTGCTTATAAATGTGTGCAACAGTTTAAAGTTGGGACTAAAGGATGAGAAAGGGAAAAGAAAAGAAAAGCAAGATAAAAAGAGAAAATGGAAAGAATAAGGAGAGAAAGGGGGAAATATAACAAAGGAAGGGAGGAAAAAGCAAAATCAGGGTAAAAATTATAAGTAACAAAAAGGGGGAAATGTAAGTATAAAGCTAAACATAAAGCAAAAGTTGCATTATGTCTTTGCTATATATTATAAATAAAATTATAAACTCTAAATTCACATTTTTACTAATATGCTAAAATACTTCAAATTCACAAAAACTAGACAAGCTTTAACTGTTTCTACCATTAACACTTTTTAAAGCAATAACTGGAAGATAATGAATCATTTTACTAGAAGTGGTGAACTAGAAAATGTAAATGAAACAAAGGTAACTTTTTTCTTAAGATGATGTATTCAAAAGTACAATTTACTTTGCTCTATAAGCAAAACCATGAAATCTCTCACCTCAAAGGAACAAAAATGTGGCAGAGGGCAGAATAATAAAATCATAAAAAATAAGTTACAATTAAAAAAACTCCTTTAAACAAAGTATCCTTATGATATTCACTGTGTGAATTTTCTGTAAATTCTAGATCTGATGTCATACAATATTTATCAAATTTCTAAATTTCTGTTATAACATTAATGATGATGGTGATAAATGTGAAGATATAGAGAAAATTTCATAAATATATATATCAAGATATATAAAATGACACATAAATATTGATTAGTTAGATATGCCATCACATATCTATAAAATATTGTTAAAAGAAATAGAAGAAAACACAATGAAATGGAAAGATATTCCCTGCTCATGGATTGGAAGAACTAACATTGTTAAAATGCCCATCTTACTCAAGCAATATACAGATTCAAAGCAATCCTTATCAAAGTTTCAGTGATGCTTTTCAAAGAAACAGAACAGACATTTTTCAAATTCATGTGCAACCATAAAAGCCTCTGAACAGCCAAAGCAATCCTTACAAAAAATAGAATGGTGGGATCACACTCCCAGACTTCAATCTATACTACAAAGCTATAATAATCAAAATATCATTATACAGGTACAAAAACAGAAATAACCCACATACATATGGACAGTTAACTAATGCCAAGAGCTAAGAATATACACTGGAGTAAGGAATGTTTCTTCAATAAGTGGTGCTGGGAAAACTGGACAGCCATGTGCAAAAGAATAAAACCATACCTGTATCTTATACTATACAAAATAATATACTCAAAATAAGTAAAAGACTTGACTATAAGTCCTAAAACCA